TGGGGAAGAGCCAGCACACATGCCTATAATCCCAGCACTTGGAAGCTGAGGCAAGAGGATCACCGTGAGTTCAAGGCACTATAGATGGCAAGACTGTCTCAAAAAAATACAAGTGTGGGTGGTTGGAGCAACTTAAATATCCAGAGAAAACACTGGACCTTCAACACTGTTTGTACCATAAAAAATATAAAGTACAAAAAAATTTTGATAAAGTTGACTTTTTTGTTAGATCTGCAATGTATTCCTTTATACTTTACAATGCTGACTTCAAAATTAAAAGCATCTGTTCCTCAGACACTGATTAAAAAAAAAAAAAAAGGCAAACCACTCACTGGGAGAATATATTTGTAATACATATACCCAAAAAAGGACTTATAATTTAAAAATATTAAGAACTCTTCAAAATTGTGTTATTTTGAGACAGAGTCTCACTGTGTAGTTCAGGCTGGCCTTTAACTCATTATGTAGCACAGGTTGACTTGGAATTGTCAGCAATCCTTCTGCCTCAGCCTCTCAGGTATTAGGATTACAGACATGAAAAAAAAAAAAAGGATTACAGACATGCACACTAAGGTTGGCTACACCCCATTTTTTAAAGGCAAAAGATTTAAACAGACTTTGCACAGAAGAAGATAAACAGCCAGGCATGGTGGCACACGCCTGTTATCCAGCATTCAGGAGGTTCCTTGCAAATTCAAGAGAAATCTGGACCACAAAGTGAGCTCAAGGCCAGTCTGAACTGTACAGTGAGACCCTGTCTCAAAAAGACCATAATATATTACATATATATATATATATATATAGAGAGAGAGAGAGAGAGTCAACAAAATAAGTACACGAAAAGATGCTTGGCCGGGGGGTTAGCTCAGTGGTATAAGCGCCTGCCTAGAAAGCACAAGGTTATAAGTTCGATTCCCAGTGCCAAAAAAAAAAAAAAGAAAAGAAAAGAAAAGATGCTCAACGTCTTTCAAATCTAGGGATATGCAAGTTAAGGCTGCAAGAAGCTACCAGCACACATGGATTCATGAAAATGAATAAACTTTCTAACAATGGGGGTGAGGGAAGTGCTCAGTGCTATAGCATTTGCCTACCAGAACCAAATCCCAGGTTCAATCCCTACAATTCCTCAAAGGAAAAGAAAATGTGAATTTGGTAAAAGAATGAAAATATCTAAAGAGAATGTGGAGCCAGGTATAGTGCTTATGATCTCAGCACTCTTGAAGGCTGAGACAGGAAGATCACAAATTAGAACTCAGCCTAGGCATTCTATTTACTTATCAAAACCCTATCTCAAAAATTTAAAAAGGACAATAAAAGGACTTAGTGCAATGTCCTGGTACTCCTCCCAAAAAAATGAAAGAGAGAAAGATCAGTGGCTATGTGTGGTTGGGTATGGGAAGACTAAGCATAGAGTGAACTTCCAGGGGTGATGGAAATGTTCCCTAACTGGATTACGGTGATAGTTACAAAACCCAACAAACCATCCATTTAAAATAGTATTCTCCAGAGAAATATCCCTTCAATCTGAGACAGCTCAAGATTAATTTCTTCTCCACTGATTCATTCTAAGAATTAAATCATATAAAGAAGAGGGAGAACCACCTTGGGGATGACCAGAACCTACTGGTACTTTACAGGACTTGCCTTTCCCCATCGCTTGGGTTTTTCTGGGTCAGCCTCTGATCCCACAGGCACTAGTAAGACGCTGCTTCCTATACTCAGGTATAAACTCAGAATCCAAAGGGAAAGGGCCAGGAACCCCAGCCTTAACCCATCTGTCCTCTATTAGCTCTAAAAGCTACACCAGAGACCTAAAACAAAGACTGTAGCTAGGGCCCCTTGCCAGTTCCTGAACTAAGAAAGTTTCTATTTTCTTACCCAACCCAGGTCAAAGTAAAATGACTTGCCAGCTCAAAGCACTTGGAACTGCTGTTCCATTCCTACCTCTGCTCCCCAAAATGGAATCATGGAATAAGGAAGGCCCCATGGAGTCAGAAGGGCAGTACTTTTCATTATTTTTGTAGAACCCTTCATAACATGAAGAAATGTTCTTTTCTGAGAAAGCCAGGCCCCTGCCAGCATACTTGCTGCTTCTGATACACTATGGTTCTTGTAACTGCTGTAACGCACAAATGAAAATTCATTTCAAAATAAATTCATTTTTAAAATTACTTTTTTTTTTTTTTTTTTTTTTTGTGGTACCAGGGATTGAACTCACAACCTCGCACTTGCCAGGCAAGCGCTTATGCTGCTGAGCCAAATCCCTGGCCTTAAAACTACATTTTAAAAAACCTCTAAGCTCCTCTCCACAACAAAAGTCACTGAATAAACTGTTCAACAGAATTCACCTATCAGAGTATTTGTTCTAAGTATAGATTACCAATTGAAAAACTACACTGCTTTCTTAACTGTATAGTTTGTGACGTCCATCTCTTCAAGAGACAGTTTGTTTTCTTCCACTTCTAGTCCCCTGTTCCCTCCATCCTCCTGAATGACTTCATCATCAGGAAGTATATGCAGGGTGTCTTCTTCCTTCCCATTCTCTTGACCAGAAGTTAGCAGCCTATCTTGTCTCTTTAAAAATAAAATTTAGAAAGCTTTGCTTTGTTGTCTTCTCAGATATACATATGCATATACATTTTAAATGTTCTTAGATAACATTTAAATGTGTCAAGTTGTGTGTGTGTGTGTGTGTGTGTGAATGGATATAAAATGCATGCTGTGTAACTGGTAAGCGATACAATAATAAATATGTCCCCATTATTCTTTTCTAATATGGAGCTAATGCTGTCCTAATTATACATTTCCCTTTATGATGATGATATGACATAATTCCTTTAGGTAGAAACACTGACCACCTTCCATTCCATTGACTTTTCTTTTTCCCTTTTCTGTGTCATTCTTGAGGAAAAAACAAGAGACAGGAGATGCCATAGATCCCTCTGAGCAAACAAAAATCAAAATAAATATTTTATTAAACAAAAGAGATTTGGGGCTGGGGATTTAGCTCAGCGGCATAAGCACCTGCCTTGCAAGCGCGCACGATTATAAGTTTGATCCCTGGTACCAATTTAAAAAAAAAAAAAAAAAAGGCAGGGAGTCGGGGGAAATGTAGCTTAGTGTGAAAACTCTGGATTCAATCCTCAATACAAACAAAACAAACCAATGGATAAACAGGTAAAGCGCCACTGCATAGGCCAGCCCAGTACTAGAGGTACAAAACGAAAAAAGGGAAAAACTCTGCATGGTGACACAAACCTGTAATTTCAGCTAGCCAGGAGGCTGAGGAAGGAGTGGCGTCAGTTCAAGGCCACTCTAGACAATAGAATCCAGGCTAAAACAACAAGCAGAATGGGACATGAAATGGGACGCTGAAAGGTATGTATATCCATGCAACAGAGACATCTAGGAAGAAGTTCTAAGAGAGCCTGAAGATGAGGGAGAACCTGCAGTGCTACCTAGATGTCTCATGCTGGCCAACAGGTGTATGAGGTTCAGGCACTGGGGTTGGGCATGCTTAGGACGCTGGCAAGTGTGAAATCTGAGAGCTCAGACAGTTTTCGGGTCACCTGAGCCTGAGGTCCCTCAGCTGTATGCAGCAGAGACATCCACGGTAACTAGCTATTGATAGAGACCAGAGATTCAAGAATCCCTAGTACACAGACACTAAAGTTGAACCCAAAGTTACAGGAGTCTCCTCACTAGCTGCCTGCCAGCCCAGGCACCCCGCTGGAAAGAGCAGAGTCCAAGCACATTCCAAACAGATGAGGAAGGAGGTTGGGAAGGGCCAATCAAGAGATGGGATGGAAGGCCCCAGTTAAAAGGGGGAAAACTCGGCTTAGGTATCAGGAAAGGGAAGAACCTGCTAAAATATCTCCATCCCAGCCCTGGACAAGAATGGGGACTTGGGCCAGGGGCTGGCAGCAAGTGCCTCAGAGCTCGTAACTTCTCTCATAATGCCAAACATGGACTCAGCATCTGGGCAGATCCCACCAGCCAGCCACCAACCGTCAGGCAACTGACCTCCGTGCTCCACGTGTTGGAGCTCCCAAACTGGGCATTTGGTGGCGCTGAGTTCCTGAAGTAAACTAGGCGGCCTTCTGCAGAACCTGGCCGCTACAGGTAAAACACACCTCCCAGGGAAATTTCAATCTTGCCAGAGAAAATGACGTCGGGGAGCATCCAGGAGGGCACACTGCTGGGCTACAAAAAGTCTGAGACGACCACCTCCTGCACCTGCACCTCCAAGTACGGCTAGGAGGACTGAAAAGCACATAGCTATGGAGAAGGCTACCTTTGCTTTGACTCTCCTGAGCCTTGAGTGACTCCTCCACATATCCCTCTTCTCTTTAATCCCGCAGAAATTAACTCCATCGTGCCCTGAGCCTCTGAGGCTCAGCCACCGGACCAAATCCGCTCAACCCTGATCGGTTCATACTCCCGTCTGATCCCAATCTGTGAGGTGCAGCCTCAGCGCCCACCTACAAGTGAGAACACTTCAATACCCGAGAGGCTCCATTTATCCTCTCACCTTAACTACAAATTCACACCACACTTGGGCAAATCCTTTCTCTTTTGCGGCCTGAACGTCCTCACCTGAAAATAAAAAGTCCGTTCTGGCAAGGCCCACAAGGCCAACGGGTTGCAAGCACACAACGCCTTCTCACTTAGATCCGGGAGCCTCCAAGGGCGGCCTCTTCTGGAAGCGTCTCCCGGCCTGCTTCCCCGGCGCCCTCGCTCGCAGCTTCGCCGGCTCAGGAGCTGGCCGGGCACTGCCTGCTCCCCACCGCCCACTTGCAAGCCAGGCCTCACCTACAACCTCTCAGACCCGGCACTGGATCCAGCACCACTTTTGGTGGGGACCCCAAGCTGGTCAGTCTACCCGACTCCTGTAGTCACTGCGGGGGCGGGCCCCGCGCCGAGCCTCGCCATGGCAACGCGACACTTCCGGGCCGCAACGGAAGCCGCGGTGATCCGTGGGAGCCCGAAGCGGGGTCTGAGGCCCTTCTCACCAGGGGCGGGGCCTGTCCCAAGAAACTCTTAGAGGCTTAAGGAGTGTGTTGTTTGCTCCTCTCTGCGGCGCAGAATTCCTCTGGGTCCGGGAGGGGTGGGAAGGACAGGGGGTCAAATGCTCTTTGGAAAGGTGACTACCTGTGTATGTGCTGGGCTCTGAAGGAAGGACGTATAAAAGGAGTCCACTTCAAAGCAGAGGCAGCATAGGGAGGCAGGGACGTGTGCCAAGGCAAAAGAGCCAGAACTGCACGGGAGACAAGGTAGCTGCTTGGGTGTGAGCAGGAAAATGGGCGATGGGTGCGAAGAGAGGAAGGCGGCTATTAGGAAAAGCCGAGGGAGGAGGCTTGAACACCAGGAGCTGGGCCGGTGTGGTGCAGAGGGGCGCTTTCAAGGAGAGAATGATGCGCTCAGAGGCTAAAAGGCTATAGGTTTTAGCCTGGTAAGACAAAAGGACCCTTCAGGGAAAGTCCAGAAAGGGAGGAAGGAGAAAGCCCCATGAGTGAGAAAATGACAGGAGTCCAGAGGAAACCAGATGAGATCTTTGAAAGTCTCAGATCATCGGGGAAGGGCCCAACCCAGCCAAGGAAGGGTGGGCAGGTACAGTGGTACTCCACAGTTATCCTTCATTTTGGATCCATGTTCTGTCCCCCAATGTACTAGGGGTGCATCTCTCACCAGACTCCCTCCAGGTACTGGACATCCACTGTATATTAGCAGATTTTCAATCCTTTAAGGGTAAAAAGGATAAGGACTGCCCGAGAAAGTCTTAATTCTCACAATAGAATGTTTTTAGTGCTAGGAAAAAGCTCCTCATGGTCTGGAAGTGCCATGCTGTGCTATCAGCACCAACCATCACTGATGGTGCTCTGGCCCAGGTACCCTCTTGATCAAACTTGCCCCGTGTGAGGAAAATCTTGGCTTTGGAGCAGGTACACAGCACATATCCTGACAAGTCCCAGAGGCAAAGCCATGGATAAAATGACCAGGAAGAGAAGGTGAAGGGCCCACCTGGGCTCCTGTAGCATGTTCTTGGGCAAATCACTTAAAGCCACTGTGGGGCTTTTTGGCCTCTCCCTCCAGGAAACCTCCTAATCACATTCAGTCCCTAGGACTCAGGATGCCCCTTCTCAGCAGCTTGCCAAGGGCAAGTTCCTCCCCATCTTTTAGGTGAGAGCTTGAGCCCTTGCTCAGGCAAAGCAATCCACAGGCCCCTTGAGGATTTCCTTCTACATCACAGGAGATGCCAGCACCCAAAGGCAGCCAGAAATGGGATGGTGGCTTCAGGAGGTCACCAGAAGTCCCCACTGGAATCCTCTCTGCCCCTCCCTTTCAGATTAACTGAAACCTGCTAATTGTGGCAGCCCTTGCATGCTCCCCTCCCCCACAGGCTCTTCCTCTCTCTCTCTCTCCCCTCCCCCTTCCATAAGAATGATAAAGGAGCCGGTGGCCCAGACTCAGCCTCCGGCTCTGGCCCAACCTTGCCACACTCCCAGGCAGCCCTCAGCCTCCCTTAGGCCAGGCTTTGGACCACACTGCCAGCTCAGACACACACACACACACACACACACACACACACACACACACACACATGGGGCCTCGAAGCGACTCCCGCCTGGGGCTCCTGGAGGCAGAAGCACCCTCGAAGCCCACCAAGAGGAGAAAGAAGAGATACCTGCGACATGATAAGCCCCCTTATACCTACTTGGCTATGATCGCCTTGGTGATTCAGGCTGCACCCTGCCGCAGGCTGAAACTGGCTCAGGTGAGAGGATCTCCACATTCCTCCACACTCCTGGTTGCCCCTTTCCCAGACCTTTTTCCCAACCATTCCAGACTTTGGTTGAACCTAAACTGCCTCCTAGCACACCCAGCTCTACCAGTGTGGGTGTTGAGGGGCTCAGGCCCTGGAACCCCCTAAGTTGCTCTCAGGCACATAAGTGTTCCTCCTTGAGGGGGTGCCTGGCTGTGGGGGAGGGGTAAGTGTTGCCACCCAACCGGCTCATGGTTTGGCTGCTGCCTGGTTTCAGATCATCCGGCAGGTCCAGGCCGTTTTTCCCTTCTTCAGGGATGACTACGAGGGCTGGAAGGATTCCATTCGCCACAACCTTTCCTCCAACCGATGCTTCCACAAGGTGCGGCAATCAAGGGTGAGGGTTGGAGCCCCGGGGGCTGGGTGGTTGTGGAAGCCCTGAGCACCTGGGGTTGGACAGTCCCACCCAAGCCCACCACCCTCCAGGTGCCAAAGGACCCTTCGAAACCCCAAGCCAAAGGCAACTTCTGGGCAGTTGACGTGAGCCTGATCCCTCCTGAGATGCTGCGCCTGCAGAACACTGCCCTAAGCCGGCGCTGGCAGAACCGGGGCACACGCAGAGCCTTCGCCAAGGACCTAAGCCCTTATGTGCTTCACGGCCAGCCCTACAGGACACCCAGTCCTCTGCTGCAGCCCAGTGAGGGCTTCAGCATCAAATCTCTGCTAGGGCACCCTCAAGAGGAGACACCCTGGCCCCAGCAGCCTAACCCACCTAGACAGGACAGCCCAGCTCAGGAAGGCTTGGGATGTAGTGGGGAGGAGGTGATGCCCACTTCACCAGTTCCCTCCTCTGAGAGGCCTCTATGGCGCCTCTGCTCCCTCCAGGGGCCCACAACAGTGGAGGGGGACACTTCCCAAGGAGCAGTCATTGGGCCCTCACCACTGTCCCCACAGCCTACAGCCTGGCCCCTCCCTGTACTGCAGGGTAGTCTAGACCCTGGGGGGCGGCCCAGTGGGGAGTGCAGGGCCTCCTTGTGGGGACAGCTGCCCACCTCCTATTTGCCCATTTATACTCCCAACGTGGTAATGCCCTTGGCCCCACTGCCACCCACCTCCTGTCCCCAATGCCCACCTTCAACTAGCCCAGCCTATTGGGGGGTGGCCTCTGAGTCTGGAGCTACTCCAGGGCTGCTCTGGGATCTAGACTCCCTCTTTCAGGGGGTGCCACCCAACAAGAGCATCTATGATGTGTGGGTCAGCCACCCTCGGGACCTGGCTGCTCCCACCCCAGGCTGGCTGCTCTCCTGGTACAGCCTGTAAAGCTCCCAGGACAGGGGCTGCCCCCCCCCCCAGCTTGATAGCTCCTTTGAGGAGGATGCCCACAGCATTTACAATAGCCTTAAAATACCAGCCTTGTTGAGAGTCCACAATGTTTATTGGGCTACCCCAGAAAGAGTTGCAGCCCAACTATCCAAGAGGTCAGACATGCCCCTGCTTCCCCCATACCCCAGGGCAAAGCTGGAGGAACAGATTTCAGCCTGGAGTAGCCCTTCTTGGTCTCACCTTCGGCCCACCACCATCCATTTATCCATCCATCACCATCTGTCTCCTCCCCTTGCTGGCTCCAGGCTGGGGGAGGGAGAACCTAATGGTAGGTCCCAGCCTCAAGTCCTGCCCTCCCTCAACTGTCTGGGAAGGAGGTAGCACCTTTTGGGAAAAGAGTAAGGGAGTAAAACTTAGACCCTACACAGTCTCGGGGTGAAGATGGTGGGGGAAATAACAGTAAAGAAATTTATAGCATTGTAATGCCAAGTCTGATTTTTGAGGGCTGAGGTGGTGACTTGGGAAGCTACTTGGCCAGGATCTGGCTCCTATAGCTCTGGGATCTCCTGCTGTGTGCTGTGATAAGAGCAAATGGTGATAAGGAGGGAGCTGAGGGCCTCTGGCCCAATGGGGTGGGGCATAGCCATTTCTCCAGGCATAACACTTTTCTCTGGCAGGGGATAGGGGAGAAGAGATTGGGGGACAGTTGTCCTTCAGAGGTCAAGCAGGTTGTCCTGGGAGATGCAGTGCAGGGACCCTTAAGCTGCCTCTGCCAGCAGAGGGGTGCCCCAGGCCTCTTCTACAACCCTGCAACCTAGAACTAAGGGGGCATGTCCCCATGGGGGCTGGGACTTTGGCTGCCTGGAGAGGGTGTAGGGGTGCAGGCAGTCTCTGTGAGTGGGGTGTCAGTGCTGACAGAGGAAGGTGTCCTGGATCTCGGAGTCTTCTGGCGCCGGGCAGGGCCTAGCTCCACTTGACCTACTCGCTCTGCAAACTTGAGAGAGCAGACAGTCTCCCCAAGGTCCTCCAGCCGCGTGGAGATCTGCAGAAAGCAGCACTTGTGGGCAGGCGCTGCGCACAAGCTTCAGTCCCCTATGCCCATACCTCCATTGGTCCCCACCTGGAGCAGGAGCACAGCAGTGGCGCCTGGGCCCAGTGCTGGCTGCAGCAGGCGCGTGAGCTGCGAGTCACGGAAAGGAACGTGTGGCCGGCGGGAGCGCAGTGCAGCCATCACACCTCCCAATGCCAGCAGTGAGCGGTTGATGGTCTGTGCTTCCCGCAGGCGCTGTGCACTCTTCAAGTCCCCCCGTGGCGCACTGGCCACCCCTGCCTTCCATGCACGTTCAGATCCTGCCAGGTCCACCAGGTGCAGTGTGCCTGCAGGGCTAGGGCCTCGTGGGGGGCACGACGCCCGCAGTGTCAGAGTAACCAGGGCATGAGAGCGTGAGCTGCGCGTATTCATGGCAGTGGCTGCGGTGGCCCTGTTGTTCCTCCCAACGCTCAGCATCTGGAGGGCAGAGTGACTGGGTTGTGTGGGTAGCTCCAGGATCAGGAAAGTAGGAGGCTTGAAAGGCAGCCCTACCTGGTGCAGAGTCTCCAAGTTTGGCACATCCCAGTGGGTGAGACCAGCCACCTGGATGCCACCCTGATTAGTTGGGCCCTGCCTCACTGCCAAGCGCTCTGGGGGCCCTGGGGCTAAAAGGTCCCTGGGGAGAAAGGGAAAGGGCTTGGTTCCTGGGCCCTAGGGATAGTTGAAGAGATCCTGGGCTCGAGACAAGAAAAAGGGAAGAGGTCTGACCTGACTGCTTCATTGTAGATCTCCACCATGCTGAGGGTTACTCGGTGCTGCCCTCCAGCCTCCATCTCTCGGAACAGGGACTGCAGTGCCCTAGGAGCTATGCCAGGGTCCTCAGGTGGGCCCTGAAGACAGTGTGGGGTACCACTTTGGGTTCACATCTATACCTGGAGCCCTTCCCCCCAAGTGTGGCCTCCACCCCACCTCCATGCTGTAGGTCTTCCCAGTCCCGGTCTGACCATAGGTGAAGATGCAGACACTGTAGCCTCGGAGGCAGGACAATACAGCTGGCTCTAGCTCCCTGAAGACCTGGTGGCAGGAAAATGGGGAGAAGTGCTCTAAGCCCCTCCCTTGGGTCCCTAGTTAGTATACAAAAGGATGGGAAATTCAGTGAACAAAGTTAAGAGCAGAGTATAATTCCCCTGCAAGGTGGCTCCAGAGATCACCAGGTCTCCCAGCAACACCCTCTATCTTCTTGGAAACAAAAGGCTGTGCAGAGAATATGGAGTCCTGGGCAGCAGGGTTCAAGAGGTCAGATGTTGGGCTTAACCATAAGATCCAAAGGTAGGGTGTGACTGAAGCAAGTTACTCATCTTTCCTGTGCTTCTCTTGTGTTATTTCTCTCTGTGACACCTCTTGAGGGCTAATACGGAATGTGTCCTAGAAGGACACAACAGCACTTGGCACATAGAGAATGAGTCAACGCAGCTTAGGAGTATAAAGGGATAGTGACCAGCCAGGACTGCTCTAGCCCCACACTGAGAGGTGCAACAAAGTGACTGAGCTTTGGATGGGACAGAAATATTCATCTTGTTGGCAACTGGACACAACAGCATTTTGAACAACAACATGACCAGCTTTCTTTCCAGAAGGTTGCTGGTAACTAGGCAGCTGTCACCTCTGTTTGATGTCTTGACTGATGAACAAACTGGGACTAAATCTATGACTAGATGGAGATGGAGGTGCAGAAGTGGGAATCAGGATTGGTAGCAGATGCCTTTGATCCAACACACTGGGTTGAAGAGTCCTGTGTAGAAGGGCTGCTTATCACCCTACCCAAATGGACGATAAGTCCTCCCTCCTAGACCCTCTGGCAGTTCCCTTCCATCCCTCCTAGAGCTCAGTCACCTTTCCTTCTGCAGACAGGAAAAGGGTAAATAAGCCTCTTCTGGGTTCCAGGGTACTCTGAAGAAGGTCAGTACAGGTACAAAGACAGTTCTCACCTCCTCCTGGGTGGCATCTGGAGGGAAGACCCAGTCTAGGCAGAAGCGACGCTGGCGCCCTCGATAACAGGTGGTAACAGTGCCCCCTGGCCCAGGCTCCACACTTATTAGGCTGGAGGGTGTCCCTGGTCTCAATCGACACAACACACGAATATTTCCTGCAGTGGGGATCAGGCACAGAGATTGCCTCCTTGGTCCTGAAGCACAGAAAGTCTCCAGTCCCTCCAGGGTGGTGTCATTGCACCATCTCCCAAGTTCACCATACCCTTGAGTTCCAACAGCCTTCCTTGGCATCCAGTTGAGGACCCATGATGCTCATCAGGAAGCTGAGTTCTAGCACCTCCAGCTGATAGTGCCCCTAGGGCCCAGGATACCTGCAAGAACAAGGCGAGGAAAGCAAAGATGGGTCCAAACAGGTGCAGGTGGGATGGGGGTACTAATGGAGCCACCGTGAGGCCACCAGTTACGGTAGTCCACATCTTTCAGTGGCTTTAGGCCCCTTAGAGACATCATTCAGTGAATTTGGGATAGAACATAAGAATAGGCATTAGAGGGGCTGGAGATTTAGCTCAGCAGCATAAGCGCCTGCCTTGCAAGCACGCAGTCCTGAGTTTGATCCTGGTACTGACAAAAAATAAAATAACTAAATAAATAAAAAGAATAGGCATTAGAATACCCTGTCATCTGTCTCTGAGTATCTAAGGAACTATCAGCTTGAACAGGGCAGAAGTGAGGTTGTACAGCCATGCAGAAGCTGTTCTGGTCCCAGAGCCTACAACCAACCCATTAGTACAGGCAGTTCCCCAGAGCTAGAAAACAGAAATACTCCCTGGACAGTAAACAGGCTGCCCACAGAGGAGGCCCTAGAAGGCAAGGGTCCTGACCTGGCCCCTGGCCTCACTCAGCGAACCCTGACAGCTCTGGGTAAAGGTGCTGACCAATCCTCGGAGGTCTCCGCAGCCCTGGCGCAGGCTGGCCATTCGTGCCTGTAGCCCTGAAAGAGGAAGACCCTTGTGAGGAAAAGTCCAAACTCCAGGCCCTTCCATGAATTCCCTGTCCCAGCTCTTACCTGCCAGTTGACCATGCACCTGCTGCAGTTCTCGTCTGCAGTTCTGCTCCGTCTCCTGCTGGAGCTGCTGGAGGGCCCCTCGAAGGCCCTGCAGCTGCACTTCCTGCACCCCCAGCTGCCCCACCCCCAACCCCACCCCTGTCACTGAGGAAACAGGGACTTACCAGGCCCTGTCCCAGATAACCTCCTCCCAGCATCCCAGTTTTTCTCATCCCAGGCCCCAACCCCACCTGAACTCGGAGGGCTTCTGTGGTATCCTGGGCCTCCTGAAGCCGGCCCTGGAGCTCCAACAATGCCTCTGCTTCCTCCTGCAGGAAGGTGGGAGCCAGATGGGTTATGGAGCTAGGTGAGAATTTAGGGAGGGGCATTCTTTTCATTCATCTTTCTCCTAGATGAGAAAGCCAAGTCAAGACTGGCAGGCACAGGCCAGGGATTTAGCTCAGCAGCATAAGTGCCTGCCTGGCAAGTGCAGAATCATCAGTTCGATCCCCAGTACCAAAAAAAAAAAAAAAGAAGAAGAAGAAGAAGAAGAGTGGCACGTACCACTGAACCTGTGCTTCTAAACTCCATGCAAGATTCCTTTCCCAGTCCCTCTGCTCTCCTGAGGTCAGGCACTCAGAGGGACCACGAAGAGGATTCTCCTATGGGCATCAGCCTCCCTAATGAGTCTGCCCTAAACAGACCATCCCAGGGTCTGTCCACAGTCAGAGATGGCCCCCTGCCTTCAAGCATGAAGTCTTAGGAGGCTTGGATACTGGCTGGCTGTTGAGTATGCAAGAGTCTATGCTGCAGGGAACACATAACCAAGGAGCAGGGTACCTGTGGGGCTCTGGTGGAGAGGCTGGGACCCCAGTGCAGCAGAAGATCCCGAGTGAGACTTAGACTCTGTTTCAAGGCCTCATTCTCCAGTGTGAGATACTGAACCCTCTTCTCTGAGTCTGTTGCTCCCTGGCAAAGAGAAGTACTCTGAGGACCTACCTGAAAGTACAGTGATCCTCCTACCAGTTCCGTGTAGGCAGAATCCCTGATATCCAATTCCTTTTTCCCCCAATCCCAAGTCTCACCACTTCTAGGCGCAGTCTACTCAGTTCTTCCTCTTGCTGCTCTAGCTGCTGCTTCAGCTCTTCCAGCTGCAGAGGAGTCAGGGGACAGGATGGAATTCCTTTTTCAGCACTCATACCCCCCACTATCTGCTGTTCCTGGGTCCCTCACCTGTCCAAGAATCAGCTGCTCCAGTCGCTGCCAAGCCCTCTGTTCCTCCTCCAACTGGGAAGCCTGCTGACCCTGGGCCTCTACTCTTAGTACTTCCTCTGACCCAGGGGAAGGGTTTTCTTCTTGTAAGGGGGATCCTGGAGAGGAGTGGGCCCACTTAGGACTGAACATGCCTGAATCCCTCTCCAGAGCAGAGCTGGGCTTAGGACCCAAGGTTCTAGGCCACCCAGGTTCTGATGGCCTTCGTTTTTTTGTACCCCTTACAAACCCTCTGGAATGGGAGACTGCAGGTTTGAGACTGGCTGAGTCTCTTGCAGCAGGACCTGTCTGCCCTGAGGACTCCGAATCCATGCCAGAAGAGCCAAGAGCTGACTTGTCACTGTCAGCAGTGGGGGGACATCAGCAGGCTGTGTAGAAGATGACAATCAGAGCAGAAGAGACTAGGGAGCAAAACTGGGCACCACAAGGGCTAGGCAGGAAGAAGTTGTTAAAACCCTCCCCAGACTCACCTTGCTCAGGTGAGGAGGGTTCCCAGAGCTCTCTTCTGCTCCTAGCTGGACCGAGAGGAACTCAGCCAAGCGCGTGAGAGCCTCTTCTAGGGACACCTCAGCTGAGTGGCCCTCAGTTCTCTCTTCTGGCCCATCCTCGGACACCGACCTGCCTGTGAGGTCAGGTAATGGGAGGAAGAGACATTCCCTGTCACATGTTCTAGGCTGAGCCTTTTCTCCCTCCCAAGAAGGATGCAACACCCCTCTCTCTTATGGACCACCAGGCTACTACAAAGCCTCTGCAGTGCCCTGGTCGTACCTACCTGGCAGGCCAGTCAGCTCAGTCCACAGTTCTGATGGGAGCTGGTCGGGACGACGACGACTTCTGGGCTTGCAGTGGGCTCTCTAGAAAAAGAACAGAAGATGGCCCTGACGAGGTGGCATGCAGCCTGTGGGGCTCCTTTCCAGGAACTGGGCGAGAAAGGTTGGGGCCAAGGTCTACCCTTCCAGTACCCAAACTAAGACGTGAGTCTTCGGCTCAGGCCAGGTCTCCAGCACCCTGAGAACACAGGTTTGGCACTACCGGATTTCGGAGTGGGGGCAGGGGTCGACCGAAGACATAAGCTCCACCCTGCTCACCTGAGCGGGGTCCCCGGGGTCCGCGGTCGCCGCTGCACCGCCATCCCTGCGAAATAGACTGTAAAAGATGTAGATGAGCAGCGAGTAGAAGGCATACATGGGAGCGCGGGGCGGCAGAGGGCCTCGCTTGGTGCCGCCCCGCGTCCCCGCGCCCCAACTCCACACCCGCCCGCTGCAGCGCCGGCGCGCATGCTCGCGGCGGCCGCCCCCACTGCCCGGCTCCAGCGAGCTGAGGGCGAGCGCCAAATGGCTAGCGCAGAGCTACAGTCCCCCAAACAGGTACCCCCTCAGTAGCCCCAGGGCCTGCCCTTCTCACGATCTTCTGTCTCGACTTCATTGATTCTCAGAGCTGAAGGCCCTCACGGCTGTCGCACCTCCTCTGGAATTCTTCTGGTCCTTCTCCGAGACCTCCCACTACTCTACATCAGGGATCCCCTGTGGCACAGGTGCACAAGGACTGTGGCCCTCTGGGGAAGCCCCGCCCACACACCTGGCCGACCCACCCCCTTCCTCGAAGCCCCGCCTCACCTAAAGCCCCGCCCAGACCTCCCTCCACCCGGAGTCCTTCAAAGTTCCGCGGTCTACGCGCTCGCCTATATATAGAGATCCCTTGCTTCTAGTCACTACTGGCTCGCATCAAACCCCACTCCCTCCTAGAACCTCCCACTCGCCTGCCCAGGCTCCGCCCCGGTCGCTCTAGCTTTCGCTGCTCTCGCTGGTGACCGCGCCTGGCCACACTCATCCGGGCCGCAGAAGCAAAGCCAAGGAGTCGTTGCTGACGACAACTGTGGGCACCTCCTGTGTTGGGGTTGCGGCCACCGACAGGCCTGCGCCGTCGCTCCTCCGGACCAAGCGTCAAGGATAGCGCTTCCTTATTGCTGAGACCTACAGGGCTCCTTGAGGGTCTGTATGCCTCCTTCTGCACCTGGTGCCCCACTGGGGCTCACATCCGCCCATCCCAAACCCCTAACTGCGTTTCCTTGTCTTTGCCAGCTGAATTAGTCTTTCCTCTCCACAGGTGTGTCCAGTGATGTCAGGGCTCCGGAAAGTTTCGGAGTGAACCCCCCCAATGTCCACTTATGGGGCCATGTAATCTGGTAGTATTTCTGGAAAGCTGGCCTTAGGCTCCAGGTCACGGCTTTTTTTTCCTCTCCAAAAAGTTTAAGCTCCCCTTCCTGTCTCTTCAAACTCACTGCTCCCTGAGGTGCCATGGTCCCTAAGCCTGGGGGTGAATGGAGCAGTGTCCTGTCCCACCTTGCTCTTGGAGTGGTGTCTCTGCATGCAGCGGTGAGCTCTGTGCAGGTGAGTATCCCCACTCCCACATTCTAAGGACCTAGTTCCTAGATGGTGGTGGGAGGTGTGGGCCAGGTCTCCATGAATGGGCCAAACCCTTTGTTTTCTAAAGGTGATGCCCTGGCCTCTTTTTCCCTCATATCTTCACTTACCTGTATTGACAGTCAAGTCGAGGAGCTGCTGCTGGCTTCCTGCTCCAGGCCTTGGCTGCTGCCACCACACTGGCCCCAGGGCTGGGCACACATGAAGACTGTCTTGCTGGAGCCTGGGTGGCCACAGTGATTGGCCTGCCCCTTTTGGCCTTCGATTTCCACTGGGTGAATGGAGATCGTTCCTCTGCCAACCTGCTTCTGGGAGGAGGCATGGTCCTGGCAGTGGCTGGTGACCATCTTGGCCCTGAAGGCTGTTCTGTGGCTGGTCAGGCAGTGCTGTTAGTGGTGGCAGTGACTATCCTCATTGTGGCTGTTTTCACAGGCAACACTTATGGGATGTGGGGGGGTGCCATGCTGGGTGCTGCAGGTCTCCTGAGCCGGCTGGAGGAGGATAGGCTGCTGCTGTTGCCCAAGGAGGACATCTGTCGCTGGGCTCTGGCTGCAGGCAGTTGGGCCTACAGCTGGGCCCTGCACACACAGCGCCTGCAGTGGGAATGACAGTGGACACAAGAACATAGGCTCTGCCCTGGTTCTATCTCCCTTTTTACTTGCTTGTTCCTGGGTATTCCCCATCTAGAAACAAGATTTCTTTTTTCCTGAGGTAGGCCTGCTGCAGGTTTGTTGATCAGAAGTGCTTGGGAGCTGTCCCTTCTCTGATCATGTGTAGGGACTTGCCTAGACCAGAATTAAAGGGATCTACTTCTGGGAGGACGCAATTGTGGGTCTATATCTCCAATAAACCTTAGGAATTCTAAAGGAGTATGAAATCTGCCTTTTCTTCAGAAAGATTGAGGGATGTTCAGGAAGCTTCCTGAAGTTACTGGTTGTTGGCTGATTTCCCTGAGCCAACACAGGGGATGTGCTGGAATGGGCATGGGGCCTCATTCTGCCTGGCCTCTTTCTGGCCCCTTTGCCAGGAGGAGCCCTGTGCTGAGAAGACGTAGTCCTGGGCCTTTGCTCAACTGGGATGGTAGGTTTTCAGATATCCTTGCCCAGCCTGGTAAGTGGCCCTTCTGGACAGCGACCCTCATGGGCTGATGGCTGTGATGGTAAGGGCACAAGAGATCTGTACCATAATGTTTCCTAGAAACACACATTCCTTCCCTGGAATGATCCAATCACTACCTGCTGGCCTTCTCCGTCTGTAGCAGTCAAGCCCTATTCCCTTAGACCCTCCCTTTCTGCTGTGAACCCCTCTTCATCCTCCAAACCCACGGACAGGAAACAGGAATAGGCAGAACAGTAGGTTAGGGGTCTGGAAGGCGTCCTTCCCAAAGCAGACTCTGCTCGAGTCCTGTGTATGAACATCCGGTCCTGCACAACACTGAGAAGGGTGGTGGGCAGGGTCTTTCAAGTTAGTGTCCTTCCACTCTGGCAAGCCAGGCTGGAGTCAGGGGCACTAAAGTGCGAGTCTCGGGGCACAGTGGCGTAGGCACGCCCCGATTTAAAGGTGTGAGAGTCTTCTGTTCGCCCGATGACTCGCGGGACTTGAATACTGCCCTAGCCGCGCTCGGAAGTGCGCCCAGATGCACACCCTTCCACTAGCCTCCTGGGGCCCCGCCCTCTCTGCCACCTTTTGCCGGAGGCGGGCCCTCTGGAGCCCTGGCTTGTCCGTAGGCTCCGGCTACCGCCCTGGCTTGCCCCAGGAGGCACTCCCATTGGCCCTGCGTGGAACCCCACGTGATGGGAATGACGAGGAACGGGGGGGGGGGTAGCGCAGCGAAAACAAAGATGGCGGCTGCGCCGGGGTCTTTGGCCATGGCGGCTGCAGGACTACGCGCGGGCGGGGCCTACTGAGGCGGCTGCGCGGCAAGCGGGCTGCGGGGTCGCGGGCAGCGGCAGGAGACCGGCGGGGGCGCGCGGCGGCCCTAACTTCCAACTAGCGAGCGCGCCGGCAGTCGCCCGCCCGGCCGGCCGGCCGCGATGTCCGGCGCCGAGGAGGCCGGCGGGGGCGGCCCGGCCGCGGGACCCACGGGCGCCGTGCCGGTCGGGGTTGGGGTCGGGACCGGGGTTGGGGCAGGTGCAGGGCCGGCGGCGGCGGCGGCGTTGGGCGAGGCAGCAGGGCCCGGGCTCCCGGACGAGGCGGGCCTGGCTGGCGCCCGGCAGCTGCAAGAGGCGGCCGGCGACCCCGACGCGCCGCCCAAGAAGCGGCTGCGGGCAGCCGAGGCGGCCGAGGCGGCGGCGGTGGCGGCGACGGCAGCGGGCAGCGGGAAGCTGGAGGAGCGGCTCTATTCGGTGCTGTGTTGCACCGTGTGCCTGGACCTGCCCAAGGCCTCCGTGTACCAGGTAGGGCCGTCGGCCCGGCCCGGTGCCGCGTCTCCTTGAGGCCGGGGCCGGGGCCGGCGGCCGGGGCCCCTCTCCGGCCTTACTGCGCCTTCCGCGCCCGCGGGATCCTGACGCCCTCCCCAGCTTGTTATCTTCTCTTCCCTGTTCCGCACCCCCTTTTTCCCTGTTTCCATCCCCTTACTTGCCGGTCTCAAGTTTCCTATCTTAGATCCCGCCTCTTTTCTTTCAGGTTTCTCCTTGACACCCCAGTTCCCTCCAGCTGACCCCGCAGAGGGCTGGGGACAGGTACTCAAGCTCCCCGACCAGCGCCGCCCCTCACTCCCGGGCTCGCTGGGTGCTAAAGGCCTCTTTACCCAAGAGAGCGTCTCTGTTCTTTCGGCCACACCCCCAACCGTGTTCCTCTGCTTCTGAACTTAAGTGTGTGCATCTTTTCTGCTCTCCTGGCCCTAAAGAACAGGAAGAAGGAGGGGATTGTCTTCCACCTTCGATTTATTCTCTTGCTCCTAATCTGGAGGAACTGTGCACAACAGGCCCCGCAGTTTTTGTCTAGCCTCAACCTAATCCACAACTGACTTTTTTTGGCTCCCAGTGTTGTTCGAGGTCTGTCTCTTTCCCATCAGAAGACCCAGCATGGCTGAACTCAGGGCTGTCAAATGGGGTACTTGGTCCAGTATTTAGCATTCCTTCCCAGGTAACCCGGCAGATGTCTGGTTGACACCTAGAATCAGTGGGCAATGTCTGTCTGCCTTCCCCCATGTATCTCTATCTCAGTTCCAGCCCCTTTGAGAAGCAAAGCAAGTTTGTTATCAGCTTTCTTTTTTCTTGATTCATTGCTGGGGCTTAAATCTGTGCTAGTGCTGAGCAGGGGTTCTATCACTGCACTATGTGCCCAATCCTTTTTTAGGGTTGGGGGGTCAAGGTCTCACTCTGTAGTTTAGGCTGTCCTTGAACTTAACTCTATAGCCCAGGCTGGCCTGAAACTTGAGATCCTCCTGCCTCAGCATCCCAAGTACAGGCACACACTACCACACCCAGCCCTTTATTTTTCTATCACTGTTGTTGTTATTATAATTACTTATTTATTTATTTTGTCTTTTTGAGATATGGTCTTGCTATGCAGTTCAGGCTAGCCTTGAGCTCGCTTTGTAGCCTAGGCTGGCCTCGAACTCACAGTGATCCTCCTGCCTCAGCCTCCTGAGTGCTGGGATTACAGGCATGAGCCACCATGTCCAGCCTATTATTTTTTATTTTTATTTTATCTTTTTTTTAATATATTTTTTTATTTTGACACAGGGTGTCTGTTAAATTGGCCAGGGTGGCTTTGAAGCCTGGCTTTGCTAGCCTCTGGCCTCAGCTTCCTGAGTCACTGGGATATATGACTCTACCTGGCCCCTGAGAGCTTTTTTTGCACTGATAGGAGCTGGAAGTAGCTGGCAGATTCTTTAGCATTTTTTTTTTTTTATTCGTACCAGGGATTGAACTCACAACCGCCTGCTTGCAAGGCAGGTACTTATGCCGCTGAGCTAAATCCCCAGCCCCTTGCTGGCAGATTCTTGTTTCTCTGTTTCTGTTTAGACTAGAGGCCTAGGTGATGGGGCCACTTTTGTAGTGAGTGGAATAGAGCTAGTTTGGATTTTTTTTTATCTGTCCTGTTTGGAGGTTGCTTGGGAGGACCCCAGGATCCTAGATTGGGCATTTGCCCTTCTGAATATCAGGGCAGGGTCAGTGGGGGAAGCATTTCCCACAGCTGATTCCACCACCAGCATTTACTCCTTGCTTTGGGGGCCATCATTCCTTTGTCATGCCCTCTTCATGATGGAAGAGCATTTCATTTTTTTGGGCCTAGCATGAAAATCTAGCAAGCCAAGCCAGGGAAGGAGCCTCCCAGGAGAATTTAAGGGACACCTTTCATCCCTCCCATGAGTAGGCTGGAGCTGGACCTGGCATGATAACAAGCTGCATGATACTGACTCCCAAGGTACCCAAAGAGCTATACCTCTGCTTCTGACCAGAGACTCTAGTGACCAGGCCTCTGAACCTGGCTGGCTCAAATTGGCCTACAGTGTGCTGGGCATGAAGTCTGGTCTGGAAAGCTAAACACAGACTGCCAAGCAGCTACAACCACCTTGACCAGTGCCTCTCTAGGCTGGGCTCCTACTGGCTGAGCAAAGGAAGCCATGGGCACTGAGACTAAACAGTGGGCTCTGCTGCCAGTCCCCACTCTACCTTCCCACTCTTATCATTCTGTCCCAGGTGATAACTGAGTGAGGTGTTCCCTTCTCGTTTCTAGAGGCTGGAAGAAGGCTCTAGAACTTACGGTTGTGAGAAAGCCTTTGAGACAGTGTTAGAACACACTTTGCTCACAGATCTGCTGTTTGCAGGGACAGGAAAAGGAAAGAAGCTTTCTAGTGCCTCTGAATACTGTCAGGGACACCTCCTGTGACACCTGTCCATGTCCTGCCAAGGCACTGTGGGTCAGGACAGGCCTGGAGACTTGGGCTCTTACCTGGTCTCTCCATAGAATCTGAACACAGATGGTAGGGCCATGTTCCTAGTCAGGACACCTCCATCTTGTGCTAGCCTTCTGCTTTCCTATTGTTAGGGATTGAACCAAGGGTTCTGTACATATTAGGCAAGTGCTTTACCATCAAGGTACATCTCTTACCTCTTTATTTATGTGAGACAGGATGTCTCTTAAGTTGCCCAGACTGGCCTTCAACTTTAGACTTTTTCTGAGTAGCTAGGCTTATAGGAGTGTGCTTTGTTAATCTTTGGTGATCCATGATGATTGGCTGTCTCTGGTGGGTCAGTCTCCATCTTCTGGCAACATTTGCCAGAACCCAATAGAATACATGGTTCAGGGTGGCCACCAGCCATTTCATATGTCCTAGATGCTTACTCAGAAGCCCTATACTTGGGTTAGAGAACCAGGAAGTCATAGTGTGCTGTGTGCTGGGCATTATTGGGTGCACAGTAACTACAGAGTATATTCTCTGGCCGCCAAATGCTATCTTTGGTGCCAAGGAAACTGAGTAGTGGCAGAAGTAGATGTGTGCCACGCTGACTTGTCAGAGGTAGGGAAATTTGCTCATGGTAGCTCCTGCTGCTATGGCCTGTGTCATGTGAGGTTAAGGGCTGCAGCAGGTACAGCAGATGCATGCTTTGATGTTCTCTGTGTGGGTGTTAGGTGTGTGCAGGGCAACTGGCCTAGCAAGGTAAGCTGTCACCCTCCTGAGTCCTTGGCAGGCCCTTCCAAAGTCCTGGGTTGCAGGAGTGCTGAAAGGGCAGCAGGGACACCCAAACAGGAATTTCTGTCAAGTCCAGGCTGGGAAGGATAGGTGGTTTGTGCTGGTACCTTGCTCTGAACCAAGCCCTGTAGCCTGAGGGCAGTGTAATCTGTGGGTATTTCTGCCCATCTCTAGGGAAGACCCAGCATTCGTGGTACCTAGGATATTGGAGCCACAGTCTGATTTCTGACCTCCCTGTCTCAGTTCTGCTGGCACAGCTTTTCACAGGAGATCACATGTGGTCTTCCATAAGCTAGACTGAGCCCTAGGGCTGGGGATTTGGCTCAGCAGAGTAAGCACCTGCCTGGCAAATGCAGTCATGAGTTTGATCCCCGATGCATAGATAAATAAATAAGCAAACACAAAGATAAATCGATCCAGCACTGATGTTAGCAAGGCCCAAAGCCTTAATGCTGACATCTGAAGGAAGGCACCACCTGTTTCCACCACTCATGGCCTCTTGGACAGAGGTTTGGAGGTGATGTGGCCTAGCCTGTATTTGATGTGACTTGCTGCTCTCCTGACTAGGGTCTAGTATCAGTGTCCCATCACTTCTCCTACATGCTTTCCACTGAGCTGCCTGCTCTCCATCTCCGCCTCCCCATCATTTGGGCTTGAGTCAGTGTTCCTCATACCTGGTATCTCCCCTCCCTGCCCATCTCCTCATGTGAATAGGGTACTTTTATTCTCAGTGCTCTAGGCAGGTTAGTGTGTCCGACTTCTGTGTCACTCTAAGGCCTTCTGTCTCTACGCTAGATATCAGTTCCAAAGGATTAATTATTTGATTGACATTTCCATTGCTAAGAGGCCTAGGAAACAGGCACTGCTGCCTCTGCCAAAACCCCTGTCTCAGAGCACAGAGTATCCTAGAAGACTACCTCTATGGCTTGGGAGCCTTGGGCACCACTGATCCATTCTTTCAAGCAGAAAAGAGCCTTGGAAATGGGTCTGCTTAGGAGTCTAAAATGCAAGACTTGAACAAGGAAGTTTTCTGGAGTGTAGCTAGGTTATGCTTTTGTGGCAGTTACTTTTAGATCTAAGCAGCATTTGTTTCTGAGAGAGTGACACATCCTGAGCTTTCTGAGCCCCACTGGTGTCCTGACATTAGAAGGAGAGGTCAGCCAGGCTAACCCTGAACTTCAGATATAACCTAGATGGAAGATGGAAGGCCAGACTTTTCCCTTAGGGACTGTGTGGCCTTGGACAAGGAGCTGTTCCTGCTCAGACCAGTGCTTGACTAAGGAGGTTAAGAAAACTAGGTTGAGCATATGCGGTATGCCAGTGAGCCTGGCACAACCTTGCCTACATGCTAGACATCACAGAATACTTGGGAGGCTTGCTAGCTGAGCAGGGGTTTACAGTTAATGCCCAAGGGGAAGCCCCTTGGCTGCATTTTGGGAGTGGTGGCCTCAGTTAAGGGCCTTGAGGGTTCCTGACCTTCAGGGCAGGAGAGTGAGCTGTTCTTACGGGCCTGGATGCTATTTCTCCTATAGTAGAATGAATGGATCTCTAGGATTTGAGAGAACCATGTGGTTCAGACGAGAGAAGTGCTAAAAGGCTAGCTAACCACAGAGAACTTGTAACCTACTGGAAGGAAGTCTTGGAGACCTGCTCCTAAGACTCACTTACGGTCCAGGAGTAGGACAACTCTTTGAGCCTACCAGTGCACTTGGCTTCCTGAAACCAGCAGAGAAGCCAACTCAGTTGGACCCTCAGGGTACACACAGGCTGTCACATGTAATCTGCTTACATGGGCAGAGAAAGAGGCTGGGTGCCATTCTAGGGGTGCAGATGGAAATGGCTATTTCTGGGCACTTGTATATATTCAGCATGTGCCAAGGAACTTAGGACCTCGGCTCTCCCTAGAGATGGGGCCTCCAGCATTTTGACTATGGAGGACACAGGGGTGGTGTTTGTTCTGAGATTACTATGGTAGGTGCTAAGCCTTGCTACCAGATAAATTGAATCTCCCACATCATCATACTCATCACTTTTATGCATATGAGGAAATTTAGACTCCAAATACCAGGTGATAAGCCCAAAGTCATGCTGCTAGTGATCTGTGGGCTGGGGGCTGAACCCAGCACTGTGGTTCCAAACCAACATCCACGCTAGGAGGGTCTGTGGCTTCCATCTTCTCATCCTGGATTGTGAGTCCAGGCTGTTTCTAGAAATACCTGAGTTCTTGTGGGCCTGGATCTATTGAGTGGGCACTGTGTCCAGCACTTGTGGAATTATCTGGCACTCAGCTTCTTACTGAGCAATGGGTACAAGTTGGAGCAGATGCAGTCTGGTCCAGCTGAAGCTGAGGCTATGTGTGGCCATCCTTTAGCCAGTCCTTTGTAGGAAATTTGGTCTTACTGGGGAGGTTGAAGGAAGAAGGCTCCAAAGTATGGTGACCACTCTGCTCTGGGGAGGTGGGTTGGGCAGGATGTCGATCTGGAACTTACCTGAAGAGCATCCCTTGAACAGTTGGTGAAGGGCTGTGTGTAGGTGTGGCTTGTCCTTTGGCTGGACCAGCCCAGGCTTGGGGTGGTTTTGCCAGGCAGGTAGTCAAGGTGGTACTGAGAAGTAAGTGATGATATATTTGGCAGCTTCAGTGCCCCCGCTGAAGGGCCCTCGAAGTCCTTCTTGAGTCTGATTCAGCTACTCAGAGCCAGGAGGAGACGCCCAGTGCCCTGGGGGTGGGGCATATGTCCCCAGCTCTGCTTAGAAGCTCTCAGAGGGCCAGGCTGCAGCCAGGAGGTATGTGATTGCCCTCTGCTCAGGCTGGTGGACCTGGAGGCAACTTTGTGGAACTGGACTCGGAACCTGGATAAGGCCCAAGTAACCTCGCACCAAGAGGTGCCTGTCCACATGGAACAATATAGGAATTCCAGATCCTGAGGGCTTTCAGTGCTAGTATCCTACTGGGCTTCCTCATTGGGCAGTGCCACATGACACTACATGACTGGTCCTTACTTCTTAGGGGGTACCCAAAGGTTTCATCCCTGGAATACATGGCCATTTACTACTTTACTACTGTGCTGTATTCTTCCCCAGCAAGTAATAGCAGTCCTTGGTCCAAGTAGCCCTCAGGCAGGTCTATGTCTCTCATGTCTTTTTTTGAGAAACGGGAATAGGATCTCGCTGTGTAGTCCAGGCTGTCCTCACATTCATAGTGATCTTCCTGCCTCAGCTTCCTGATAATTGCTGGGACTGCAGGCATGCCCCACCACACATGGCATGTTTCCCACATTTTGACCCACTCCCTAATCCCAAGCCCATTCTGAACTGTGCCCTGGTGATAGGACAGATGATTTTCCCACCCAGGACCTGCCTCAAGTACTACTTCGGCCAACACATACATCAGTACCTCATTGCTGCCAGGCTCTGTTTAGCTAGGCACAGCCAAGGCAGGCCATTCTCTCATTTTAATTTTTAACTTAATTAGTACTTGAGATTTGAAGGCAGATAATATGTGGCATTCATGCTGAGGAGGAGTCTGTGGATAGCCTCTACTGCCAAGTCCTTAACCCGCAGGTTCCACCATTCAGGGCTCCAGACTGGCCCCTGGGGACTGAGAGAGCATGGTGAAATAATAAGACGGCAGCTGAAGTTTATCAAGGACCCCACATGTGCAGCCATATCTCCAAACATGGCCATGAATCGGATTTAGGAGAGTTCCCCTCCCCTGTGCATACTGCAAAGAGGCTGTATCATGGTGGGCCTAGCATGTAGGCCTCCCTTTTGTACTGTGAGCCTCATGAAGGCCAAGGCCACAGCTACTCTATGTCTCTTAATGGCACCATTGGTACTTAGATGATGAGTGTTGAGACCTAAGATAGGAATTCTGACAGCCCCCCACCCATGTGAGGAAGGACCCCAGAAAAGTCCTGACTATTACTAACCTACTTAGATCCACCCAGCTTGGAGCACCCTGTCCCACTTACAGCCCCATTCCCACCTGCCTTTGTCCTGGGCCTCCTTAGCCTCCTGCCTGCCATTAGGTCTGGAAATGGCACTGAGTGGTGGTGGCTGGCAACTCTCATCTGTGCTCACCATCAAGACTAGGGTTGAAGGGCCAGTATTGATGTCAGCCAGGGCCCTGTCCCCTTCAGGAGCAGCCTTACCAAAAGCTAAGGAAAGAGTGCCTGCTTCATTATAGGAAAGCAGCATCCCTTCCCTCATGGCTAGCTGGCTGAGTGCCCTGCCATTCCCGGTCAAGAGCCAAGTGTTCTTGTAGAACAGGAAAATGCCCATTACCAGTCCCTGGTAGAGTCAAATTAATCGCTGCCAGTTGGACGTGGATCAGGGAAGATCTGAGACCCCGAGGACCTGACAGTATCCCACTCTCCACAGAGCCTAAGCCGGCAGGCAGTGTCTTGTCATGTCCCCTTGAACAGCTCTCAGGTTTTGCTAGACACCAGCACAACTTGGAGACTACCACGTGCTCCTCTCCTCACCAGCTGGAGTTCCTTGGAACAGCTGGCCTGGCCTGACTGGAGCTAGTGCACACAGGCGGGCACGTGTGTGTGCACCATCCTACAGGTCTGTGAGCTTCATTTCCCTTTCCTTCTTCGCAGTGTACTAATGGTCACTTGATGTGCGCTGGCTGTTTTATCCACCTACTAGCAGATGCCCGGCTGAAGGAGGAGCAAGCCACGTGCCCCAACTGTCGTTGTGAGATCAGTAAGAGCCTCTGCTGCCGGAACCTGGCCGTGGAGAAAGCCGTGAGCGAGCTGCCCTCAGAGTGTGGCTTTTGCCTACGCCAGTTTCCCCGCTCCCTCCTGGAGAGGCACCAAAAAGAGGAGTGCCAGGACAGGTGACTGCTGGGGCTGGGGGGCATAATCACACAGATGGAGATCCTGGTGCAGACATAGCTCCATACAGGATGATCTGGCTGATCCAGCCCAGGATTTAGGGAAGCGTGGGATCCACAGAGTATGGCATGGAGTCTGTACCTATTTGCTATCTGAACATGTTGACACTGGCCTGAAGACTTCTCTGTGGGCAGGCCAATGGCAGTGTAGCCAGCTTCAAAGCCCTGGGAACTTTGTGTGAGGCTGCTCTGTAGTCTAGCCCTTATAGGTGGACATGGCCATTCAGCTGGCAGGCCCCTAGCACTAAGCCTTTCTTGGAATGAAATGGGTCTAGGACCATGATCAGGAAGCTACTTACTGCCAAGCTGAGGAGGGATCCCACAGCACTGAGTGCAGAAGGCATGCTGACCCAGAGCTCTCTCTGGGTCCTTCTTCCCTCTCCCTTTTCCCTCTTTCCTGTCTTTCCTTTCTGTCTGCCTCTTCCCTCTTTCATACACATGTATGTGTATGTACATGTGCACTCTGAACCTGCTGTGGTGGCTAAGCTCAGGGTAAAGTGTGTCCTACAGGGAGAGGTCTGTGGTTAGCAGAAGCTGCCTCTAGAGAACAACTGGACACAGTCACCTACTGTGGACAAAGATGTGACTGCTGTGCTCACTTCCTCCCAGGGTAACTCAGTGCAAGTACAAGCGCATTGGCTGTCCATGGCATGGCCCCTTTCATGAGCTGACAGTGCACGAGGCTGCATGTGCCCATCCAACCAAGACGGGCAACGAGCTGATGGAGATATTAGATGAAATGGACCAGAGCCACCGCAAGGAAATGCAGCTCTACAACAGTATCTTTAGCCTGCTCAGCTTTGAGAAAATCGGCTACACAGGTGAGGTGCCTCACTACCTGCTGCATGCTGCATAGGTGGGCTGGAAGGGTGTGCTGGGCTGCTCTGGGCAATGGGCACAGGCTGTGCCATGTGGCTGGATTCTGGAGAGGCTCCAGATAGACAGGAGGATTCCTCAGGGAAGAAGACAGATTGGAGACTAAACAAAAGGAGGGACTAACGGGCCCAGGATGCAGCTCATGGCTTTCACAGCAACCCCTCCCTCCAGACCTCCTTATCTGGCCCACAAACCCAGCAAAATGTATGGGGCGCGACAGCTTTGGTATGGTTGGGGTCTAACTGGAAGGTGGGTTGTGTCTTGGGGAAACCTAGGAGCTCAGGCCTGACCCTCGGAGCCCAGAACAAGAAGAGCACTCTGTCAAATCAGATCCTGCCTGCAAATGGTCACTAAACTGACATGAAGCTGTTCAGTAACAAGGCTGAGGGCGCCCAGCTCAGACTGTAGAACTGGGAGTGAATGCCCACAGATGGGCAGACTGGACTGGGCCTAGGCCCACTGAATATCCTTGTTCCCAGACCACTGCTGATGCCTTTGAACTTGTTGGGGAACAGGAGCCAGGCCACAACCTGGTCCAGAGGACAGCAAGAAGCATCTACTGACACTGGGCCACTCAGGGAGACTTCATCCCTCTTGTTCAGGCACACCAGGAAGCCAGCTCAGAGCACCGAGGGCAAAGGTGGCAGCCAGTCATACTGTGCTGCCTAGCCTGGGCCTGACTAGATGGGCCCACCAGGCCTAGGAGGGCTGCAGCAACAGAAAGCCATGGCCCTGGTTAGAGCATCTGCAGCTGATCCTGGCAGCCCTATGAGGTCTGGGTAGGCTGGGGCATGTGGTTCCATCAGTGGATGGGTGGGACATCCTATCCATGCAGGATGAACTGGCTGCCCTCAAGCCTACGCCTCCACAGAGGGACTTGCCAGCTGCAGGCTATGGGCTCACAAGGACTGCAAAAGCAGGTTTGCCTGCTGACTGATGGCCCCACCAATGGCCAGGCAGAGCCCACGTCACAGCCCAACACCCAAGGACCTGGCAGTCCCCTTGGGCAGGACCGGGTACCACTTGTCCACCACCAGCTTTTCTGGCAGCTCTGTATCAGAACCAATAAAGTGAACTTGTTCTCAGAACTGCATCCTGTCTGTGTGTCTGCTTACCCTGCCCCTATGAGGACATGGGGCTGAGGGTGAGGAGGGTGGCCCTATAGGTTGGCCACACCTGGGGCATGGCCTTACCTCTCACACCCTCTGGACTCTCCAGCTAATTGGTGTTAATTCTGTTTGTAGTTGTTCCCCCAAAGCTTGTGCGCCTCCGTTTGCCATAATCGTGTTTGACTTGCCTTGTGACAAGTAGAGCTTGCTGTGTCTGGGTAAGTTGCCTTCCTCCTGGGCTGAGCCTCCCCTCGGCCTGGTCGGGGAAGGCGCTGCCATCCAGCCCTGACCCACACTAACTTGTGGCTGTTTCTGGCCCTGTTTGTCTCCACAGAAGTCCAATTCCGGCCATATCGCACGGATGACTTCATCACACGCCTCTACTATGAGACACCACGGTTCACAGTGCTGAACCAGACATGGGTCCTGAAGGCTCGTGTGAATGACTCAGAGCGCAACCCCAACCTGTCGTGCAAGCGTACACTTTCCTTCCAGCTCCTCCTCAAGAGTAAAGTCACAGCACCCCTGGAATGCTCCTTCCTGCTGCTCAAGGGCCCATATGATGATGTGAGGATCAGTCCTGTTATCTACCACTTTGTCTTCACTAATGAGAGCAATGAAACAGACTATGTGCCTCTGCCCATCATCGACTCTGTGGAGTGCAACAAGCTGCTGGCCGCCAAGAACATCAACCTGCGGCTCTTCCTATTCCAGATACAAAAGTAGGATGGATCCAAGACTCCTGAGGAGCAGAGGACCGTGGCCTGGCACCACTCTCCTCTTTACCCCTGGCTTGGCAGTGGCTTCACACAACTATCTGATCATTTTAGCAAAGGAGGAGAACAAGCAAAATCAAAACTGGGAAAGTCTGCATGTGTGTGTGATGCAGTCCCCACCTCCAGCTCCCCTCTTCACCCCTGCTACCCCTTCCCCAGGGCAGCTGGAGGCTGGGCTGACCTCAGAGGAGACTGTGCTCTGGGCTTCTCAGGCTCAGGGCCAGCAGCAAAGAGGGTGAGAAGCCTGTGGCCCCTGTGCAATCCCATCCTCACAGCTTGGTTGCACTTCCTACCGTGGTTCCTGGCTGGGCACAGGGGCCCTCGTTGACTGCAGACGGCGTATTTGATTGTGATTAAAAAGGCAGCCTTGTTTCCTACTTGATGTTTTGTTGGAGGGAAAGGCATGGCTATGAATGGACGCGTGGGAGCTTTGTTTTGGCCTGGGGGGTCAGGGGCCACCCTGTCTCTGTTACTGCACCCATGCATGCCAAGGAGAGACTTGGAGACATAGCCTCCCCTGCAGCCTGTCACAAGATCCTTAGAGAGCCAGGAAGGGTTGAGGCTCCCCCCAGCCAGCCAGCCACCCCCAGGGAGGCAGGACTCTGCTACCAGGGCTCAGCAAATGTTTTCGGAATGCAGGGTGAAATTCTTTCTCTTCCCAGGAAAAAAATTAAACTCTTCACAGGCTCTTCTATAATTGATGAAGTTTTAATGAGAGAGAATCCATTCACTCTACTCAGCCTACAGGGCACAGTATCCTGAGGATGTAGAGGAGCAGTCACAGGCTGTTCCAGCTTAATAAGGGCAAGGTCTGCTGCCAGAGACTGACTGCTGGCCACAGTAGGTTTCCTGACTGAAAGAGGTGGGCCTACCCAGCCTTGACTCACAATCCTCTGATGTTCTGAAGGTGGCTCTTGGGGCTCAGAGGGTCTGAAGCAGCCCTGCATGGAGGAGCTGGGCTCTGGTCTGTTCTTCCTTGGGACCTTTAGAGGTGCTAGAAAGGGTGGAACTTGATTAGGAGACGGGCTCGTCTGTGATAGTTTTTTTGTTGCTTTAATACCAAAGAACTGGTTTCCTCTGCCCTTGCAAAGCCTACCTAACATGCCTCAGAGCAGTCACTACCTGGCCTCTGCAGTATGCCTTGGCCTAGATCCCCACTACTCTGTCCTGAGAGCCTGAGGGGCAGGTAATCCTGGTTGGGTACAGAGCTTAGGTCATTGACACACACCCCCAGGGCTTCTGCCACCCTAATCTTCAAGATTAGGTAGCTGAGAAATAGTGGGAAGGGACTGTAGAATAGGGAATAAGCTGTAGCCATTTGTGAATCAGTTCTGCTCTCCTCACAGGGAAAAGCCTCTTAGAGCTATTTCTGAGAATCCTGTTTGGGTTCTTGTTCTCAGCTCAGGCATGGGCCTGCTGTAGTGTCCCCTAGGGAGCCTTCTCTTCTGTAAAGCTGATGAGCTGGGGAATTAAGAAGGCCGACACCGGCCCAGGGATTTAACTCACTCGGTGGCATAAGTACCTGCCTTGCAAGTATGCAGTCGTGAGTTTGATCCTTGGTACCAAAACAACAACAAAATAGAAGGCCAATGTTTGACTTTCTGTTCTTTACAAAGACCCAGTCCAAGTCCCAGCAATCTGTGGGCTCTGCACCCTCTAAAGTAACACACCATGTCTGCTTAGCGTGCATAGAGAGGCCCTCAGGAGGATAGGCAAAGGCCTCCTGGGAAGTCCCATCATTTCTAAGGTGGAAGGATGGCTGGCTTGGCTTGTCCACCTATATTTGGGTGTGTATAAGACACTGTGAACTCAGTACGGATCAGGGTGGGAGGCTTGTTCCGCACAGGCACAGCCAAACTGGGACAAGGTGAGCAACTGAACGGGCAAGGGCTGCAGGAACTAGGAGGCCAGAACAGGGACAGAGGCCTAGCTGGTAGTCCTGTGGCCTCCTCAGTGCCAGATGCTAGCCTAGTATGTGGGGCAAGGGATAGAAGGAGCTAGCCCAAGACATGGCTGGGGTGAAGGCCCAGAGGTATGGTATGTCTGGGTATTAGGCATCCTAGTGCTATCCCAGCATGGACCTGCCCTGTGACTGACTGTCCCATGCATCAGCTGAGGCTTATAGCGTAGGGGAACCAGGCAACTGAGAAGACTGGCATGTCCCTCAGCCATGCTGGGGGCTGGTGCCACAAAGCTCGTGGCGTTCTCACTGTGGGCCCTTTATTGCTAGGGGTGCCACATCTACTGGTTTGTCTCCAGAATACTGTGTCATCTTGCTGTATCAAGCTGGTTCTTCATCTGTTACCTCTGTGGATGGGGGGCCCAGCCTCAGCAGATGTGGGGGAAGTCAGGGGTTCGTAGGCTAAGCAATGCCTTCCCCACTTCACACCCCAGTCCCTGTGAGCCCCATATCCCTCAGTTTGCCCAAAGTGAGACATTTACAAAAATAATAAAAAGTAATTTTTTAAAGAGCAGAGCAAGAAGTGTTTTTATGGCTGTTGGAAATGACTGTCATGTTACTTTTGTGGTCTGCATTTTCTTTGGATATTTTCTGTATGTAACTGTAGTTTAAAAAAAAAAATTCCAAACTATGTTTCCTCTGTGTTTCCTTACCAGAAAACAGCCTCGTGGGTAGGCCTACTGGGCTCAGCCAGCCTCCCATTTGCCTGCTGCTTGTGGTTACCTCCTTTCTCCAGGCCTCCAACCCCCTGCAGAACCTCCTAGCTTGCTAGTAGGGAAATGGGCATAGAGAAGTCATATAGTCTCAAGCAGACTTGGGCTCCCCAGAGCCCATGTCCCATGAACCCTGAACCAAGAAGGAAGGCAGTTCATGGTCTTCCCAGCAGCTCTGGGAGAAGTTTCCAGTCTTCTGCCACCCTGTTCCCAGCCTATTTGATTCAGCCTCTGCTTCCATGCCTTGCTCCTCTTCTCTCACTGTGCCCCTGGAAGCTGCCTTGGTTTCAGAGTCACACTCTGAATGGGGAAAGAGTTGGTAGTATAGGCCTCTAAATCGTCCTCAGTACTCCCAAGCCCAGCTGGGGGCAAGTCAGAGCACCTTAGCCTCCAAAAGCAGGGCTAAGGTGCATTTGGTTTTCTTTCCGTGCAGCTCTGCAGGCTTACCTCACTGTACTCCTGCAGTCTCACACCTGCCCAGCCTCGGCCCACTCCAGGCGGCCATCACTCTACTACATCAACCTGTGCTCCTAAAACCACCTGTGCTCCACATCTCTCCTTCCCATTAGGACTCACTGACCATCCACTGGCTGGGATTTTTACCCCATTGGATCTATTTTCATTTAATTTGATTTGATTTTGTCTAGAGTTTCACTATGCAGTTCAGGCTAGCCTTGAACTCACTTCCTACTCCAGGTTGGCCTCAGACACAGCAATGCTCCTGCCTCAGCCTCTAGATTGCTGGGATTACAAGCATGCACCACAATGCCTGGCCCACCACTAGACCTGTTTTTTTTTTTTTTTTTTTTTCTTTCTTTCTCTCTATGCCGTTCAGGCAGACCTGGAGTTCACTCTGGAGCCCAGTCTGATCTCAAACTCACAACAATCTTCCTGCCTCAGCCTCCAAAGTGCTGGGATTACAGGCATGAAACCACCATGCCCGGCTCTAGGCCTGTTTTGATCATAATAAAAAATAAACCTTTCCAGCTTCCACTCTTCTGGTCTTCCATGGGACTTTTCATCCATCTTCTAGGTCCTTCTGTACACAGTGGCACAAAGTGCCCAGTGCTAGGCTTGCCACATAGCCAGGAGTGACAGCCCCAAGACAGGGCCTCAAGATAAGAGAGTAGGGGGATCCCAAAGATGCCAGACAATTGTAAATCCCTGGTGCAAAGGAGAAATCTGAGTGAAAATACCCCAAAACTGGACCCTAACTCCCTCTTACATCTCAACATAACGCAGATTTGCAGTTTTAATGTGCCTTCACTGGATCTTCTGGTAGCATAGCCAGCACATAATAGGAGACTACTTTGCTCGTTTTGGAAAACATCCACCACCACCACCGTTACCCCCTACCCCGCGCCTTCCGATCACCCCCATCTTCCAATATCCCTGGGGTTTGAATCCCAAATGTGATTGGCTGTGTCCACCTCAAGCGGCGGGGTGGGACAGGTCTCAGTAGCATCCACTCATTGAAATTCTCATGCCAAATTGCAACCTCCACGAGGGGGCGACGTCGACGCCTTCCGGGCAGGACCAAACAGGCGCAGGAATCTGGGCGTGGCCAGCACTCCGGATCCGAGAGGCGGTCTGGGCGGGGCCTCGGGCCGCGCGGGAAGTCTGGATCCCGCGACCGCCGCTGGGTAGCGATCATGATCTTGGATCGCGAGCTTCGTCGTGAGTCCCTTGGGGCGCAGGTTCCGGTCTCGGGGTGGGGAGTGGAACTGTGTTGAGCCCTCCACTCTCTTTCCTCCTGGCAGAGCTGAACAAGGCCAAGGCCAGAGCGCAAAGGAGCGGGCAGCCGCGGGAGGAGGCGGCCTTTTGCCACCAGCTGGGGGAACTCCTGGCAGGCCACGGTAAGCGCGCGCAGGCGCCGGGCGCGGTGGGGATCCTACCCTTCCGGGACGCCCGACCGATTATGGCGTCTTTGCCACTCTCCAGGCCGCTATGCGGAGGCCCTGGAGGAACACCGGCAGGAGTTACGGCTGCTGGAGGACGCCCAGGACCCCTTGGGCTGTGCGGTGGCCCACCGCAAGATCGGAGAAAGGCTGGCCGAGATGGAGGACTACTCGGCGGCCCTGCAGGTAAGGCATTGCGGCCTCCAGGAAGTACTTAAGCTCTTTATGTGGAAGAGGCAAGAGGACCCACTGCTGCTGGGGAACATGGGAACATACCAACAACTCCCGGTCTTCTCTTGTGATAAAGAACATTAACTAGTTGCAGCGTGGAGCTGCTGTCCCCACAGACAACCCTCGGTGCAGAGAAGAGGTGACATAAGTGACCAGTTTTGTGGGGCTTTGGGGCAGTGGGGTGGGGGGGTTCTGGGCAAGAGTAGCTTTCCCTGGGGTCAGGACTTGTGGGTTTGCTTGAGGTGTGGTGAGTTTAGTGGGTTTTTCTTCTCCACAACAGCACCAGCACCGCTACCTGGAACTGGCTGGCTCCCTATCCAACCACACGGAGCTGCAGAGGGCCTGGGCCACCATTGGCCGCACTCACCTGGATATCCATGACCACTGCCAGTCGAGGGAGGCCTTGCTGCAGGCCCAGGCTGCCTTTGAGAAGAGCTTGGCTATCGTGGATGAGAAGCTAGAGGGTAGGTGGTCTTGTTCCAGCCTCTGTGCTTTTGCCTCTCAGGCCCCTCCCTTTGTAAAGTTCCTGGGTGTGGGTCTGCAGGCCTATGCTGCCATCCACTCCAATCTGGCAGGCACCTACTCTGTTCTTCACACAGTCTGCAGCAGGACCCCTGACTCTCACTGTGAAAGAAGGAAGGGTGGGGGAGAAGTTAGAAACCCTACCTGGGGAGGACCTGCTGAATGTTTTGAGGGGGCATCTTCCAGGGACACTGACCCAGCGAGAGCTGAGCGAGATGAGGACCCGACTGTACCTCAACCTGGGTCTTACCTTTGAGAGTCTGCAGCAGATGGCCTTATGCAATGCCTACTTCAAGAAGAGCATCTTTCTTGCTGAGTAAGGCCCCAGTCCCACCCCAGGAAGGAGGAGGGTAGCCTTTAGCATCCCCCTGAGTGGGCATCCTGGCCGGGCTTTTTATTTTCTGTAAAAGAGAGACCCCTCACATCTGCACTAGAAGCTAGGAAAGAGCAGAGTTGGGTCTTAAGACTGTAACATGGCAGGGCTGGGTTACACATGACATCAGGACCTGTAATTGGCAGGATGTTCCCTCTGCTTCAGTGCTATCTTAAATGCTTCAGTGTTCTCTATCCACTCTTCCAAAGCTAGAAGGTCCTAGGCATTCTCAGTATCTGTTATCTTCACCATTTGCAGGCATAACCATCTCTATGAGGACCTGTATCGTGCCCGCTACAACCTGGGCACTATCCACTGGCGTGCAGGGCAGCATTCTCAGGCCATGCGCTGCCTGGAGGGTGCCCGGGAGTGTGCTCGTGCCATGAAGAAGCGGTTTATGGAAAGCGAGTGCTGTGTGGTAGTCTCGCAGGTGCCATTCTCCATCTACTCTAAGTGTATCTCCGCGTTGGGTATGGGCCTTAGGGAGTGTATAGGCTCATCTTCCTTTGCTCCCCAGATTCTCCAAGACCTGGGAGACTTTTTGGCTGCAAAACGAGCTCTGAAGAAGGCCTATAGGCTGGGTTCCCAGAAGCCTGCACAAAGGGCAGCAGTCTGCCAGAGCCTCAAGTATGGTGAGGCTGGACAGGAGCCTGAGGACTGAATAGCCTGAAGGGGTGTGGAAGGCTCTGCACCCTCAGTAGAAAAATTCCAAGTAAAGGTTCTTGAAGGAAGCAGCAGCTTTAGCAGGGGCCTCTTCTAGCAAGAGGGTTAGGTCCCTATCAAGATAAGACCCTTACATTTAGCCAAGCCTAACAAGGGGCACTGAAATGTGAGGACACAGGCCTACCCTTTACTCATGAGGCAGCATCTTTATTGACAGTTGGAGACAACAGTCATCCCACCATTCTACCAGGGTGGGAGAGCAGGTGATATGCATGTAACTCAGACACTCACCACAGAGACAGTAGTAGTTAGTGGTGGTTAGCCTGTGTTGTAAGCCAGGCTCCATTCCAGGCTGTTGTGCATGTTTGTTCTAATCTGTAAAGTGCTCCACACAGATTCTCCAGGTGGACGCATGGAGGGGTTAGATAACCTGCTAAAGGGCACTGAGTGGTGCAGGGTAAACCTAGGTCAGGGCCCTCGACCACGATGCCTCTTACACAAGCCTCTGTTCAGCAGTGCTGGCAGTGGTCCAGTTGCAGCAACAGCTGGAGGAAGCTGAGAGCAGTGACCGTCAGGATGCCATGGCCATCTGTGAGCAGCTGGGAGACCTGTTCTCTAAAGCAGGTGACTTCCCCAAGGCAGCGGAAGCTTATCAGAAGCAGGTTTGTGACTCCTGATTGGAGTGGGTGGAAAGGTGCTGAGTGGACATGGACCTCACTATACTGGCTCCTCAGCTGTACTTTGCTGAGCAGCTGAACAGACCAGACCCTGAGCTAGCCATCATCCATGTGTCCCTGGCTACCACACTGGGAGATATGAAGGACCATCGCCAGGCTGTGTACCACTATGAAGAAGAACTGAGGCTGTGCAAAGGCAATGCCCTGGAGGTGAATACCCCACTTCCCTGCCCTCCCAACAGGTTTGTCCTCATAACTTTGCTGTGGGACCACTGCTGTCCAGCCAGGAGGCACGAATTAATGCCACCACTGTTTAGGTACTTCCTTCCAAGGAGATAGGGAAGGATCAGGGCACGTGGTCCTATTTCACATGGGTAGCTGGATAAGGCAGAGTATGGTCGAGGCCAGCTAAATGTTGCGGGCAGCAGGCCCCCCAACCTTACTCTTCTCTGCTCAGGAAGCCAAGACCTGGCTCAACATTGCACTATCCCAAGAGGAGGCTGGTGATGCATACGAGTTGTTAGCACCATGCTTCCAGAAGGCTCTCAGCTGTGCCCAGCAGGCACAGCAGCCCCAGCTTCAGGTACAAGAGCTGGTCCCACCCACACTGGGTCCCCAACAAGCCCAGCATCCTTGTAGCTTGCCTATTCCCCTTGTTCCACACTCACATTCTCCCTCCATGCTCTGTGCCCCCATCCCTGAGCAGGACATCCCCCTCTGCTCCTCAGAGGCAGGTCTTACAGCACCTCCACACTGTGCAGTTGAGGCTACAGCCCCAAGATGCCCCTGGCACTGAATCCAAACTTCAGGAGCTAAGTGTGGCCAATGAGGAAGAGGAGGAAGAAGTGGAGGAAGAGGCCACTGAGGCCGTGGAGATCATCGAGCTGGAACTCTCAGAGAGTGGTGAGGGCTGAGTGCTGTCTTGATTGTTGTGGTGACTACACCTAGTATTGTTCCTCTGGCCTTATGCTAGCATGCTGAGGACTGGTGCTGTGCCCTCACAGAACCTGCTGAGAACTTGTGGTAGGGAAACTACCACAGCATACAGCCACAGTCAGATGGGCATGTCCTTTTGTGGAAGTGGATGAAAGAGGCTGGCAGCATGTAGGGAGCCTGGAGAAGCACAGTTGTCTGTTAGAGTGGGCATCAGCCAGAGAAGGCTACATAGAACCAGCCTGTGAGATGGTAACATTAGAGGCATGTGTGTAATGTCCAGGGCAAATGAGACAAGACAGTGTATCACAGAAGGTCTTCCTCTCCTGTGCCAGAGCTGAGCACACCCAAGAGGCCAGCTCAGCTAGCTGTGCAGAAGGTGAATATGAGACTGACTGCAGCAGAAAGCTTAGATTGTGGGGGCTGAGAACAGGTTAGAAGCATACAGATGTAGCCTGGTTTCCATCTTAGCAACAAGTGGTAGGGAGCCTGTCTGTAAGATTTGGGGTGTTTGATTCCAGTCCACAAAGAAAAGAAAAGATTTGGGATGTATCTCTTGAAAGGACCTGCCTTCAGGAATGAATTTAATGGGTTTCTGCAATCTCAAGGAAAGTAGCCCAGCAACTATGCTTTGTAGAACAGGTCAGTTTGGTGTGTAGCTGGTGTGGGAAAAGAGGTCCAGGGACTGGAACCTCAGGGGATGCTACTCTGAAATCAGGCATAGCAAGAGAGGCCAGTGAGCTAGGTGTGGTGCACATGCCTGTAATCTCAGCATTCTGGGAAGCTGAGCCAGGAGAATCACATGCCCACCCTGGGCAAAGTGGTGACTGATTAGTAATATACTGTCAAAGGGAGAGAAAAGCCAATAGAGATAAGTGTAAGGATGGTGAAGGTATAGAATGGAGCCAAAGAGAGCCAGACAGAAACAGGGCCTAGTAAAAGGGAGTCTGTAACGAATCACCAGAAGCAGGGGAGAGTACTGAGAATACAGGAGTGTGCTGGGCACCTGGTCTAAGGAGTGATTTAGCCGCACACGAGTGCTTCTCAAAAGAGGGTGGCAAGCAGGGATAGAGATTGGTCATGGACTGTGTGCTCCCTGGTTGTAGCGGTGCAAGGCCAGCACAGGCTGGACAGAGAGGCAGGCTAGGGTAGAACAGAGAGGCCAGAGGTGGGTGCTGTAGGTGCAAGTGGGTAATTAGGGAGGGATGGAGTGGACAGTCAGATTTGACCTTACCTGGCTAAGAAACCCTGGTGCCCACTGTCCCCAGAGTTCACTTTCTTCCTTAGCAGTTAGGGAGCTTGGGTGGGGTTTCTCTGCTGGCCTTCCACAGGCTCAAAGCTGGGCTGGCTGTATTCCAGAGGATGATTCTGATGACCCATCCCGGGAGCCAGAGGAGCATGAGGAGCGTCAGGCTTGCCTGGGCCGGCGGAAGGTAAACAAGGTAAGGATGATACTCCCTCCCCCATCTTGGGCCCAGCAACACCACCAACCTCTCACACCTCTGCCTGGACCGGGCTGCTGTCCATACAGTGGAACCGGCGCAATGACATGGGCGAGACCCTGCTGCACCGAGCCTGCATCGAAGGCCGTCTGCGTCGTGTCCAGGACCTTGTGAAGCAGGTAGGCTGCCACCCTAAGTGCACCACCTGGCCTCAGTTCCATTCCAAAGGAGCTGTGAGCTTGGCTAGGATCTCTGTCATCTTTAGAATGGGGCCTGAGGGCTCAAGCTCACCAGGGACAGGACATGCTGGAGGAAGCATGATGGCTGCTCAGCCCAGCAGGGGGATGGGGTAGGCTGTGCTCTTACTGCTGAGATCAGCACCAGAGGAGAGTGCTGGGACAAGGGATAGATCATAGGGCCCCAGCCTTACTCAAGCCACAAAGCCCCTGGGTCCAGCCTGCAGGGCACAAAAGACTGGGTCTTTTCTGTCACTGATCACAGGGCCACCCACTTAACCCTCGGGATTACTGTGGCTGGACACCTCTGCATGAAGCCTGCAACTATGGGCATCTGGGTAAGCGGAGTATGGATGAGACCTGGCACATGGGGAGGATGCAGGGGGTGAGGATGGGTCTGAGCTTGGTACTGGGAGCTAGACTCTTGTCCTTTGGCCCACAGAAATTGTCCGCTTCCTCCTGGACCATGGGGCCTCGGTGGATGACCCTGGTGGACAGGGGTGTGAGGGCATCACCCCACTGCATGATGCTCTCACCTGTGGTCACTTTGAAGTGGCTGAGCTGCTCATTGAGCGAGGGGCGTCTGTCACCCTCCAAACAAAGAAGGTGAGTTAGGTGTGGGTAGAGGCAGGGCTGGCAGGCGGAGCTATCTGTCTCTTGCTCAACTGTGGGCCACACAGGGCCACAGCCCTCTGGAGACACTACAGAATTGGGTGAAGCTGTACTGCAAGGACCTGGACCTTGAGACACGACAGAAGGCGGCAGCCATGGAGAGGAGGCTCCAAGCAGCCTCCTTGGGTCCAGGCAAGTATCATTTCCTTTGTCCTATGGGACATGGCCATGGAGCCCTCAGCTCTGACTCAAAAGGATCATTGCAGCGTAGGTATCAGAGTAGGAGGTGCTAAGCACTATCTCATGACAGACTATTTCTCCTACAGCTTCCAGTAGCACTCCTGGCCCCCGGACTGTCCTAAGTAACCATCTGTTTGACCCTGAGATATCTCCGCCCTTGAGCCCTTGCTTCAAGCCCCTAGCTTCTCCAGCCCATACTAGGATTTCACTAAAGCAGACTGCATCAGCTGTGGCCAGGCCTCGAAGGAGCAGACACAGGCTGGCTAGCAGCAGCAGCAGCAACAGCAGCAGCTCAGACAGTGAGAACACTGTGAGCCCCCACGGGCCGTCCCAGAAGAGGCTGAGACGCTCTGCCATGGCACAGCAGGATGAGGCCTGGACATCTGGTTCTGCCAGCAGTAAGGAGGCAGCCACAGCAAGCACCAGCCTAGCAGCCTACCAGGCAGCCATCAGAAGTGTAGGTGGTGTTCAGAGCCGCTGCCAGGGACCAGGCTCATTTCGGGACACAAGTGAAGGCCCTGTACCCCAGGCAGCTCTCATTCCTGAGGAGGAATATGTGGCTAGAGACTGGTTAGAGTTGGATGAACCCCTAATGTACAGCCGCCCATCCCATCTGGCCTGCCCTCAGGACAGTGGGGACAGTGGCAGCAGTGCCTCAGGGTCAGATGAGCACCCTGTCAGACCTGGGGCCCGAGCCAGACAGAGCCGCCTGACCTGTCTCAAGAGTTGGAATCCACTGGATAAAGTAGGAGGCATGGCTGCAGAGCCCTCTGGGAATCCCATCATGCCCAGGGCCTTGGGGCCCAGTGGAGAGAATTCTGAAGCAGGCCAGTCTATGGTGGGTGTACAAGCTGGGAGTGCAGCTGGCATTGTGGGCAGGTGGGGTGGTGGCCTCTGTCTTTTCTGACTGCTCCTTTCCCTGCCCCCACCTGCCAGAGTCTAGTTCCTCCCCCACCTATTCGAGTTCGTGTTCGAGTTCAGGATCACCTTTTCCTCATCCCTGTCCCCCACAGGTAAGGTGTCACTTGCCTTCTCCCAGCCCCATCCCTCTATGCCTATCCTACAGCTCCATGTCAAGAAAACACTGTCCTTTTGTGTGCATGTCAAGCTGGGACATATAATAAGGATTCCTGCTGACTACAGCCCCCACCTCTGCTGCGCCCATGGTGCCTGAGTTTGTCCTACACAGGCTCAGGCACAAGTCCCTAGAGTGTCAGGGTTCAGGGAAAAAAAAAAATGCAGCCAGATGAAGATGGTGTAGGCACTAGGCAGGGATGGCAAGACCCTAGAGCATTTCTTGGACTCAGTGTGCCAACCCTCTCCACAGCAATGAGGCCCACTCTGTGGCCTGGCTGGTGGAACAGGCTGCCCAGCGCTACTACCAGACCTTTGGGCTACTGCCGAGGCTCACCCTACAGAAGGAGGGGGCTCTGCTAGCCCCTCAGGATCCTATCCCTGATGTCCTGCAGAGCAATGATGAGGTGGGCAGTCGGGCCATGGGCATGGGCTGTTCCTCTTGCTAGGTTGATCACCCACTGTGCTCTGTAGGTGTTGGCTGAAGTAACTTCATGGGACCTTCCCCCGCTAACAGATCGATACCACAGGGCCTGCCAGAGCCTGGGGCAAGGTGAGGACTCTAGAGAACCTTTGCTTTGTTTGGAAGCTTGGGCCGAAGGGCTAGGCATGCAGGCCTCATCCACCCGTGCTACTCCCAGGCCCACTGGGCCCTGTGTAGCCTGCCACCTGCCACATAATGGGGGCAACAGGTGGGGTAGATAGGCTAGAGCTCATGGGAAGCTGGAGGGAAGTTGTTAAGCAACTCACACTGCAGAAGTGAAGCCCAGGGAAGAGATGCTGGTGTGGGCTTTGAACTTCCTAAGCAGGAACTTGTCTTTGGAAGGGGGCACCTTTGTGCAGGGGGCTTGCATGACACTGAATCCCATCCCTGTGGGAGTGAACTCAGCCTATCTCCCAAGCTGCCTGGTTTCTCCACAGAGTTTGGAGGCAACAGTGTTGGCTCTGCCCCAAGTGACCCACATCTCTCTCCCTAGGGGAGCATGTGCAAGTACTGCGGACCATAGAGCGCCAGGGCTCAGGCCCCTCCTTCAGCATCTGCTCCCTAGCCCTGTGCCAGACCCAACTCGTCCCTCTGCTGCGGGCTCTCAAGATGCACACTGGGCTCCGTGAGCTGCGTCTGGCAGGGAACCGGCTGGGGGATGGATGTGCTACTGAGCTGCTGTCTGCCCTGGCCACTATACCTAGCCTTGTCCTCCTTGACCTCTCTTCCAACCACCTGAGCCAGGAAGGTCTACGTCAGCTTGCTGGAGGCCCTACAGGCCAGGGCACTTTGCAGGTACAGAACATTGTCCCAGCAGCCTGAAGGCATCAGGGTTCTCATTTAGCCAGTCACTGGGTTGTCTGGGAGACCTGGCTCATGTCCAACACTGGAACAGGCCTGTAACTGTACAAGAAACCAGACCCTCTGAGGGGACTGGGAGCTCAAGGCCCACCCATGTCTTCCACAGAACTTGGAGGAGCTGGACTTAAGCATGAACCCTCTGGGCGATGGCTCTGGCCAGGCTCTGGCTTCTATCCTGCGGGCCTGCCCCTTGCTCCGTATCCTGCGCCTCCAGGCCTGTGGCTTTGGCCCCAATTTCTTCCTGAACCACCAGGCAGTCCTGGGTAGTGCCTTCCAAGGTGAGCTGACCAGGCAGGTGTATTCCTTGAGCCCAGGTGAGGAAACTCAGAGGCCTTGGGCAGAAGCCCCTGGGACATCATGTGTGTCAGGCATGGCTTCTTCAGCTTCTCTAAACACACAAGTAGAATGCCTGGGCTCTGAGGGATATGTGGTGTGTGCCCAGCCTGGGTGGTTCCTGCAGGATGTACCCTAGCCCCTACTACACCACACTTAGTGGTGTGCCAGGAAGGTTGTCTCTGCCTCTGAAGATTTCCTGTGTCTATGACTTGAACCTTCTTTAGGCCTAAGCAATTCCATCATGAACCCACCAGGATGCTAAGATAGCAGCTCCAGGGCCAAGAGTTGGGAACTGGGGCCACCCAGGGGAGGTACCTGGGCTGGAGAGCTGTGGTGGCAATGTACCCCTGGCCCAAGGCCCCATCTCCAGCAGGAGAAACAGAATGCTTTTTCTTGAGTACCTTGGTTTCCCCACACAAAATTCAGGGATAAGTTTCTCCAAAGGGGTTGCAAAGGTTTTGGGCCTAGAACTCTGGGTATGAGGTTCAGGATATGTGCTGGCCACATGGGACTGACAAGTTCTGGCACTTACAGATGCTGAGCACCTAAAGACCCTGTCCCTGTCCTACAACCCACTTGGTACCCCTGCCCTGGCCAGGACCCTGCAGAACCTGCCTACCTGTGTCCTGCATCTAGAGCTCAGCTCTGTGGCAGCTGGCAAGAGTGACTTGGGCCTCATGGAACCCATCATCAGATACCTAACCAAGGTACAAGGTGGGAATGTACTACCCAGCCAGAGTAGAGGGATATTAGAGACCAGAGGCCAATGGTTCTAGAGCTAACGCCTTGGAAGCCTAGGAGGGAATATAAGGCGAGGCAGGTCTTGGGAAGAATATTCTGGCATGTCTGTGCCATCCTGGCATAGGCCTACTGTGATCTGTAACTTACTGGTCACTAGGAAAGACACTTGGGACTAGAGTGTCTTCCCTACACACCACCTCCACACATACACATGTACGCTGTGCCCTGTTCGGAGGTTCCAGATAGTGTATGTCCCTATGACTACTATACACAGCATCCAAAGTATAATTTATACCTAGAAGGAGTGGTACTTTCTATCTCCCAACTAGAGGGTTTCCTGGTAGGGGTATGTATGTAGAGAAAGGCAGGGCCATTGAGCTTGGGCGCTTTCT